TGTGTAAAGAAGTACGTAAGGCTTCTGAGACTGAAGATTGATTTTAGGAACACCTCACTACAGCCCTCACTTTCAAGTTCTTCACTGACGGAAGACATGGCAGCTCAACTTTGGGCAGTTGTTATACTTAAGCGGGTAAGACTGGGAGTAGCTCTCTTCCTCCTCTCTTGATAACCTTTGCAAACTCGGCAAATCTCTAAGATCGAGGTTCTTCAAACAGGGAATCTTCTCATCATTACACCATCTTGAAGACTATGGTCAATGTACAACACATGGTCATCCCAATTATTGTAAGATATCGAAGGCATGGAAGTTGCCCTAAGAGTGGAAGTTGGCAACAGTTCCTACATCTTGTAAGGTTGATAGAAACAATTTCTAAGAATTAGCTCTCCATCCAAAGTGAAAATTTTGTGCCTTTGTAATCCTCTAGGACTAAAATTTCAAGTGTGGGTTAGGCTCAAGGGTTTCAAGAACCCTTTCAGCATTTTCTGCTGTTCAATTCTCATTATCAAGTTCCCAAGACAAGTACAAGCTGGGAGACTTTGCTTTCCAGACAAATTTGCTTCTTTGGCATCATTGGATGGCTCACTCTGTCAAGATGTTATAATGTACTGCCTAGGAGATTTGTCCTTTCAGTTCAGCTATGAGAGAACCTTTTGTCTTACCCACATGAAAAGAGTTAAAGTCTTTAAGGCAAGTGATTTGCCCAATTTTTGGCGGCATATGACATAATGAGACACAATTACTTAGGTAAAAATGTCGAAGATTTCAGTCGTCTCATGTGTTTGTAGTTCCTGAAGAAACACCAGCTTTCCAGCTTCAAAGTCTGCAAATTGCAAGCACAGATTGATCTAGGAAGCATTGCATACAGGTTGAAGAAAGGTCCGATATTCTCATGACCTGCAGCAAAGATGACAAAGTAAAATCAGGGACTCTTAAGACCATCACTTCAGCCTTTATCTAGCCAAGAAAGAAGTAAAACCTAAGGGTTCAGAAGTATCTTCTACATACCTAAAATAAAAATGCATTTACGCATAGAGGAATACAAGTCCCAGGTCCATTGCAAAAGAACCTAGATGGAAAGGAATTTGATAATCAGTGATTATAAGATTTAAGAAAATGCTTAATAACATTGCAATAACTACAACAGAACACAAGAGGTAAAAGGTCAAAGCTAATACCACTGTGTCTATTCTAATCATTAGCCCACAGTGCATGAGCAATAGCAAGTAAAGTTGTCCAAACAGAGCTTATATATGATTGACCAACTTCCCTGCTTCTGTAGATCTGCATGAACTGTGCAGAGGATCCTTGACTACATTCTGAAGATAACAAAAGCCAATTAAATGAAAAAGACTTAAATTAGTAAATGCATGATTTGGAAGAAAAGACAAGCAATACCATAATCAGCGGTGCAATACATGTGTATGCAACTTTTAAGTGAAATGAGGCATTATGTATCCATTTAACATCATCCAGATAACAGAAAAAAAATTCTCCTTGATTCCACCATTCACATGTTAATTTACACATTACACAATAGAAGTTCGTAATATCAGCATCCAAAAAAGGCAGAGTGTGATCAACTTGATGACTGATATCAGTTTATTTTGCATATACAGTTATGTAAATAGAGAGCAACACATAAAAGAACTTCTAACGACCACCTATATAACAGATGGTATACAATGTTTCAAGGAGTTCCATACCAAAGCTTTGAGTCACTAACTTGGAACTTTTGTTTTCCTTCAGAAATCCCCTAAAACCAGTAACAAACTCACTTTAATCAGTCCCCACAAACTCAATCTAAAAATTCTATTCGGACTACTCCCTAACCAATTTAGGGGTTCTAGCATCATGCTAATCATTTGTTTTCTGATGAGCCACTTGGGAGGTTGTTCTACAGTAGGAAGCGTAGAAGAAGTAGAGAATATTTGTTATACATGAGTGTTAGGATTTGTTTTTGGAGGACAGGTGGCTTAATGAGATTGGAAGATGAAGAATTTGGTTATGAGCAAAAGTGTCAGGGAATAAAGTGACGGACAGAGGGAATTGAGGGATATTCAGAAGGAAGGTTAAGGTTTAGAAGGGGAGGTGACTGACCCTCGAAGTTCAGTCTTTATCTTTGTTTTTGCTAACTTAGAATTGTTCCATTTTGCTGCTAGATTGCTGGGTAGAACATGATCTTCTGGATGTACTGTTCTGTTTTAACATCAATATAGAGTTTATTTCCTTTTCTTTTTTGTGCTTATTGATTGTTTGAACTGGTATTGGATAGAGTTTTTTGAGTGTATCTTGGCGGTTTAACAGGTCAGTGTTCTATCATTTTCCTTAACTCCTGCCGTATTCAAGATTCAGTCCATAGATCTTGCCCGAATGGTTGTGAGTCTGCTGTTTTCATCACTGTGAGGCAATAGAGTGCATCACTCCTTTACCTACTATACTTTAATTTTTAAACGCATTACTTCAGCTTGACTGATTAACGGATCAATAATTAATAAGTTAAATATTTACTTAACACCTACAAAACTAACAGTAACTTAAAATAACGATCAGACATTCTCAAAGCTTCTAAATATCGAAAATTTGATATGGACAAAAAATCAAATTTGCAATTATGGAGTAAAAACGCACAATTTAATACAGAATATACCTTATGAACCAAGAATCCTCGAAACGCGAGACTTTTGAAGACTCATATTATCAGTGGCAGCAGCAATGTAAAAGCGCGGTGCAAACCTGTCCATTTGCAGTACCGATAAGAGATTTCATCATCCCGCCGTGTGTCCGGCTTCACAAATTCAGCTGATAATGAATCTGATGAATTATAATAATAAAAGAACAGCAATTTGATTGGATTTTATATATGAAATGGACTCACCTGAAACTAAAACACACGGGCGTCGAAGATGGCTGTGAGGATTGGTGCGGCTAGGTTTTCCCGTTAAATAAAGACGTAAAGAAGACGAATTGTGAAAATTGTAACGCTAATGGCAACGAATGCCATTATGGACCAGCAACAGTCGTTCATTTTCTCCATCGCCGGAATTTAAAATTTACATGCGTGTTTACTCTGCAGAAATTGGCGCGAATTCGATTTCTCCATGAAGGGAAAACTGGAGAAATTACTGTAAACAGTATGATTGAAAAAAGCAAATATGAGCAGTGACCGTGATGGAGCTCTGTCTGTCACCGTCACGATAGCTACCATTCTAGTAATTTTGATTAGCTTTCTTTTCACTCGGAACGTCGGAATATGCAAGTCTAGTTTCTGACGAAGGCTCCAAACGAAGATTAATTAATTATACATGGATCATGAATATCCGCATGCTGGACTGTCGACGAACTGGAATCTTCTTGAGAACCAGCCCATTAATGAATTTGATATTGCAAATAAGACCTTGTTCAATTGTTTAGGAAGAAAAGGGCCGGTCATTTCAATTACGTAATATTACATCGATAACCTTTTTTTCATAATTTATCTTATAACCTAACATAACAGTTCATAATTAATTTTTGACAGAATAGTTCATAATTAGTTAACTGTAATTTATCATGTGATCCTATTAAAACTGTCATGTCAAGTTATGAGAGAAAATTTGTAAAAAGATATTGTAAATGTTTAAAAATCTAAAGCTTCGAGAAAGATTTGCAAAGGATAGCATGTGTGGAGTTATCCATCATAATTTGATTTTTTTTTTAATTATAAAATTTAAATTTATATCCTTTTCTTTATAATAAATCTGCAAACTTTTTCAGTATACTATTAAATTGATTTCATATTGTAATTAAAAACCACTAAATTTTGCTTACAACATTTGATCAAAATATATACATTATTTTAGATTCCAAAATATTTTAAGATTTATTTTTTTAAAAAAAAAATTACACTTTTTTACTGAAAATTTTTAAATTACATGGAAAGTTTGAGAAAGTTTTAAGAAAAATAATTAATAAATCCTTTTAAAAATAATGTATTTAATATATTTCCCTCCCAAAAATATTACTCCATAATGCTTTTATAAAAAAAAAAAAATGAAAAAAATCCTAAAATCTTGTAGATAATCTACAATTAATTGCATTCTAATTTAATTTAAGTTGACCCAAGGTTCAAGTCTTTGAGGCTTGAAACTGTCACCTTCTTCAATTGTTAAATTAATTGCAAATTTAAATAAATCTTCCTTCCAAGCAAACCAGTTGAATTCCATAGAATTTAGATACAAATGAATATGAAAAACCAGTAGGTCAATTTGGTATAGTTCTCTCCATACAAGGAGAAAAGCATAACCAAAATGAAATTGATCACAGCCTTTTCATGGTTTTTTGTTATATACTTAAGCAAAACATGTGCATACAGATAATATTACATGAAAGTTTCACATTAATTAATAATTATGCAATAAGCATCAACTAACAGTTCATACCTTCACGCATTCCTGCAATATCACTAGTTCTTCATACCTGCAACAAATCAAAATATAATCTATGTTTATGGGGGCAAAATATTAAGCTTGAAGAAATTGAAAAGGGCACCTTGATTCATACCGCCCAACTTGATGCAACTAGTAATTATTCGATGTAACTTCACAATAATGTTTCCCAACATGTGCTATCTTGTACCAATCTTCTCCTGTTTCCTTCTCACATCGCCTTCACCAGTTCAGGGCATTTGGATATGAGCAAATTTGTAGATTGGTCAAGCTCTGGATGCTGGCTGGAAGATGACAACTTTGGGCATTTAAAATATTCAAAGACTGAAGAGATGTTAGGTCTCCTAGCCAGTGAGGCAATGATGCTAGTTCAGGTACCCGCATATGGTCAATTTTTGCAGTGCAGGGACATACCTCATGGACTCAGCAACACTGTCAACTTTGGACAATTATGTGTTCTTTGCCACATTCTGTTGAAAAGACCAAGTCATAAATCTCATTGATATTTCTGCCAGCGAAAAATGATGCGGGTTTTCTGCCCGAAAAATGATGCGGGTTTGCCACATATGGTCAACTGCCGGAGGGAACAAAGTTATTTGATACTATTCGGAAAGTCACCAACTCAGGGCAACCATCAAGTGCCCAGCTTTTAAGGGCGGAGAGATGTCGTAACCCCCTGACAAATTTGAGAACTTTATGCACATTTCTAAAGTCAAATGCTGAAGAGAGTTTAGGCCTTCCAGTTACTTGCTCCGGAAAAGCCTCAAGCTCAGGGCATTCAGAAATTGTTAACAATTTAAGACAACTGAGCCTAACTCGATTCTTGGCAAGCTCTTTAGCTTTTTGAAATTTCTAATAGACATTTTGCGAAGAGAGGAGAGATTTGCAGAATCCCATGAGGAAGGTAAACTAAATCGCATTTGTATCAAGATGTGGAGTAAGCAGGCTTCTTAAATGTGAGATTGATTTTAGAAGTTCCCCATTGCAGAATAAATCTGTAAACTTTTTGCTAAAGGAAGGCATGGTAGGGTTAATTCAGGACAATCGTAAATTCTAGCTTCGTAAGACATGGAATAACTCGCTTCCATCCTGTCTTGACAACCTCTAAACCTCGGCAATCCACCAATACAGAGTTCCTCCAAAAACGGGAATTTTCTCTCACCTTGGAAACTTGCTCAATGTACTCCAGGTTAATAAAATTTTCAATTTTAAGATATCGAAGCCGAGGAAGTTGCCACAAGGGAGGAAGTTGTCGACAATTCTCACGTCGAGAGCTTGATAGAAACAACATTACTAAAATTTGATAATCCATCCAAACTGGAAATTTGGCACCCTTATAACCTTGATTTTCAAAATTTCAAGGTTTGAGTGAGGCTGGAGGGTCTTCAATACTTTTTCAACCTTTTCTCGGGATTCCGATTCACTATCAAGTTCCCAAGATAGTTCCAAGCTGCGTAGGTTCGATTTCTGACCAAATTGGCTTCTATGGCATCCATCAATCACCCACTCTATTAAGATGCGTGACACTAATTCCCCTCCAAGATTTAAACCTTTCAATTCAGCCAAGTGGCAACCTCTCCTCTCACCCACAATGAAGAGTTAAATTTTTTAAGCAAGTGATCTGTCCATATGTGGAGCATTTGAGATAACTTGGTACAGCCTTCAAATAAAGATGTCGAAGATTTTTCAAGCATCGCATGCGCTTAGGTAGCTTCCGAAGTTGATAACAATCTTTCAGATTCAAAACCTGCAAATTAAGCAAGCTACAAAGTGATTCGGGAAGCAGTTGGATACAGGTGCGAGAAAGTCCAGGTACCTTAGATGATTTAAATAGCGAATTGGATGACAACGACACTCCAATGTCAGGCACACAGAGACCTCTCAACGAGATTAATCTTGAGATGTCACAAAAGATCCCCAGACATTATCTGTAGAAAATCTGGAGCCACGATTATTGTCCTTAAGGTTTCAACTCCATACAAGCTTTAGAAGAATCAGAACCTTTATATGACGATTGGTCCAATAAACATCTATTCTGATATGAAGAGTGCTTTTTGAGATATTATTTGAACCGTGGCCTCCAGCAAACAATTCATCCTTCACAATAAATTGTGCAAGATCATGAACAAGATCATGCATTTTAAATAATAAATATGCCAAATCATCTTTTTTTGCATCTTGAAAAAAGGATCGCCAATATAGTTCATTGCATATCTCAATGCCAATATCTTCTGGCTCAAAATTTTGACTGCACTGAATAAGCCACTGGCAATCCAAAGATGAATCAACTTTTGTCTCTCAATTTCAGATCCTTTGGGAAGACACACAAGGCAAACATCTTTTTATTTTCGATGGCAAATGGGAGTAACTCAATCTTAAGGCTGGTAAGATGGATTTTTTATCTTGTGGCAAATTCCGAGGTCACTTTCCTTGATAGAAGCCACTCATTTTCCTCACTTTTATAACGCACAAGCTTCCAGAGACTTCACGGCCAGAGGCACACCTACACTTCTTCACTATCTCTTTCCCAATTGCAACAAGTTTGGACGTTCTTCTTTCTCTTGTCCAAATGCCCGTTCTTTAAACAACAACCAGCATTCATCTTCTGATATCCTGACATGATGCATGGGAAGCGTTCCCATAATGGATGCAACCTTTCTGCTTCGAGTAGTGACAATAATCGAAGCACCTGTCGATCCACATGCCAACACACACTTTAATCTGTCCCCCTTCTCTTCATCTTCACTCCATACTCATCTACACAAGCAAATACCTTTTCCCGTTCAATATATCTTGAGGCGTCTCTGCAAAGGGTCTAACTCTAGATCTTAACAACATTTCCATTTGCAGATCCAATTATAGCTTTTATGATCTTCTTCACATTGAAGTCCTCTGAAATGCAAACCCAAATTCTCAGCTCAAAATGCATGCTCACTCTCTCATCATTGTAGACCACCTGAGCAAGCGTTGTCTTCCCAAGCCCTCATACCAACAATAGGGTAACGGAAATGTCATCACACAAGCTACATGATTCGCCAAATTTTCAACAATTATTTCTTTATCTTCATCTCTACCGTATACGTAGATTGAGTAGTGATGGGCGCCAGTTTGGCGTTCTTCTCCGACTACAGCTCCCCTCTGTGAAACTACCTCTTCAATGAAACTGTATCCTCTCCTCTGCAATTTCATCTAACTCTCTCTAATCTCTTTCATCCTAATGCCAATCGTGCGACAAAATAAAGTAGTATCTGGACGAAGTTTGTTTAAGAGAGAAGTGTTACCTTGTTGATAAACCTTGAATTTTGGTATTTAGAGTCTAATCGAGAGACTTCTGTTGCACAATCATCCAAGATGTCATCCACCTTATAAGCTGCTTCTTTTAGCTTCTGCAGCCAATTCTGAAGCGCCTTGTCTTGCACTTGCTTCTCCTCAGCATCTTCCAGCACAGCTTGAATAGTTGAGAGCAAGCTGGAAAGTTTGTTCATGTCTTTGTCAACACCCCAAAGCAACCCAACCTCCTTTCGGATGAGTGCGTTCAAATTCTCCAGCAAAATTTGAACAAAAGCATCAGCCATTTGGAATTGCAAGTTGGAAAATCTAAAGCTCTGTGAGAGGTTTGCTATGGGAAGGGGATGAGATGGCCTAGTAGATGAGTAAATGGAATTGGACGACTTGAAGGTGTTTGGAAGTCAAATATTGTGGGTCCTGACTTGGAAATTGGAGTCATGTGGCATGCTGCTAAGATTTTACAGATTAACAATTAAGAAAAGAATAGTAAGGCTTTTAAAAGGCTAGTCTTCTCGGTCTATGGAATTTTCAAGGATGATTAGTGATAAGATTGAAACAGTAATGGTGACAAATGCCTTCGCCGACAGAACTCACTAACTGATTGAGAAGAATAAAAAAAAATGAAAGCTTCTAGAAAAGCCTACTTTTCTGTGACAAGATAAGATTACTGTTAAAGGAATTGGAAGACTTGAAGGTGTTTGGAAGTCAATATTTGTGGGTCCTGACTTGGAAATTTGAGTCATTGGGATGCTGCTAGAATTTACAGATTAAAAATTAAGAGAAAGAAATAGAAGGCTTTTCAAAGTGCTGCCTTTCCCTGTTTGTCTATGGAATTTTCAAGGAAGATGAAGATGGAAATGCAATTTCTACTCTTATTTTATTATCAGACTAAAATATGTGTAGAATGATTAATGATAAGATTGAAACAGTAATGGTGACAGCCTTCACCGACAGAACTCACTAACTCAGATTAATTTATTATCAGACTAAAAAGAAACGAAAGCTTTTACAAAACTTACTTTTTCTGTTATGGTGGCCCCGTCATACCCCTAGTTAGCCCGTCCCTGAAGGTGATAAGATTACTGTTAATGGAATTTGATCAGCCATTATATCAATAAGTTTCACAATACACATTGTGTCCATTAGAGTTTTATACTTCACATTATTATTCAATGACTGAAAAAAAAAAAAAAAAAAAATCAACCGAAAATCAAGTAAACATTATGAACCCCACGACAAACAAGTGAAAAAATTATAAATTTATTACATTTTACAACTTTTATTCAGATTTCACAAAAGCAACAATGATAACACTAATCGGTCACACCTAGTACAATTAATTCCAACATATAGCCTGTATACGAAGTGTGCTTTTACTCTTTTGGTGGATCATCTTTAAGGATTCATCTATAGTAGAAGGAAACTCCAAGCCACCAAATCCACATTCATCACCTCTAAAGCAAGCAGCTTTGCCCATAAGCAAATAAGCCAACCTCAAAGCCTCCTCATCTTTGCAACTTCCCAAAAAGATTTAATGCTCCCTCCTAGTCTCTCCACTCCTCCTCACACTTGGGTCCCTTAACCGCAACAGTCTTTACATAAAACCCCACCCCACCCTTCCCTTTTTCGTTTCTCTCTTCAAAATGATCGGATATACCCAGAAGCTGCATTAATATTCTATTGTCGTCAACATCATTAGATTCTTGATCATCGGTCGTTGTTGGGTTTATGCTGCAAGAGCTTTGTTGGGTTAAAGTGGAAATTCAGGAGACAGAGATAAAAATGCTTGTGGGCTTCACTGTTCCCACTTTCTTGAGAGTTGGCTGTTTGTGGTTTGGTCTAAATGGAGATATATAGGGGAGCCAAGCAATTCTGTTGATGATTTAAACTTAAGAGTTGCTTTCTTATAGTGGTATTGTAAAGAGGGGTGTTGTGTCTGATGTTCAGGTAATTCTTTTCTCAACCTGTCCGCAAATTAAAAGATAAAAAAAAATAAAAAAAAAATGAGTGAAAAGGATGGTGCTTGATAGAGAATTAAATTGAGAACTGGACACTGGAGATACCTGCTTGACTGAGGAGAAGAAACTGGACTGCCGAGATGGTGGCTGCATTGTTTGCAGTGAAATCAGGGGTTCACTCTGTTTATGCAATAAAAATTTAAACCATTAAACTGACTCCCCTGTCCTCTTTGGTGAAGCTACAAGAGGCTTTTGGATCCACTAGTATACTGTGTACAACTTAACTTGAGAATCAACTATAAGCAATTGCATAACTTTAAAACGGTAGATTGGCACAGCAAAAACTTGAAGAAATGTGCAGTACCGTGTCAGCAGCAATTCAATCAAACTACATGAGACAGCCAACATAATGAGCTCGAGGATACTTTCTCTGTAATTCTGGCCATTGCACAAAGACTGATCAGCTATGTGTAACTTGTAAAAGCAGCCACTTAAAGAAAGCCTTTTTACTCTTGCTATACTCTCAACAGAAACAGAAGACCAATATTCTCATGACCTCTGGCAAAGATGACAAAGTAAAATGAGGGACTCTTAAGACCATCACTTCAGCCTTTATCTAGCCAAAAAAGGTAAAACCTAAGGGTTCAGAAGTATCTTCCACATACCAAAAATAAAATGCAATTACGCATGGAGAATACAATCCCAGGTCCATTGCAAAGAGCCTAGATAGAGGAATTTGATAATCAGTGATTATAATATTAAGAAAACGCTTAAGTAACATTGCAATAACTACAACAGAACACGAGGTAAAAGGTCAAAGCAATACCATTTGTGGTCTGATTCTAATCATTAGCCACAGTGCATGAGCAATGGCAAGTACGGTGTCCAAACAGAGCTTATATATGATTGACCAACTTCCCTGCTTCTGTAGATCTGCATGAACTGTGCAAGGATCCCTTGACTACTTCTGAAGTAAACAAAAGCCAATTAAATAAAAGACTTAAATTAGTAAATGCATGATTTGGAAGAAAAGACAAGCAATACCATAATCATGTGCAATACATGTGATGCAACTTTTAAGTGAATGAATGGCATTTATGTATCCATTTAACATCATCCAGATAACAAAAAAAATTCTCTTGACTCCACCATTCACATGTTAATTTACACATTACACAATAGAAGTTCGTAATATCATGCATCCAAAAAAGGCAGAGTGTGATCAACTTGATGACTGATATCGTTATTTAGCATAACAGTATATGTAAAAGATGGCAACACATAAAGAGAACTTCTAAACCAACTCCTATATAACAATGGTATACAATGTTTCAAGGAGTTCCATACCAAAGCTTTGGAGTCACTACTTAGAACTTTTGTTTTCCTTCAGAAATCCCCTAAAACCAGTAAGCAAACTCACTTTAAATCAGTCCCCCAAACTCAATCTAAAAATTCAATTCGAACTACTCCCTCACCAATTTAGGGTTCTAGCATCATGCTAAATCTTTTGTTTTCTGATGAGCCACTTGGGAGGTTGGTCTACAGTAGGAAGCGTAGAGGTGAGAAGTAGAGGAATATTTGTTATGCATGAGTGTTAGGAGTTTGTTTTGGGAGGACAGGAGGCTTAATGAGATTGGAAGGATGAAGAATTTGGTTATGACAAAAAGTGTCAGAGTAAAAGTGAGGGACAGAGGGAATTGAGGATATTCAGAAGGAAGGTTAAGGTTTGAAGGGGAGGTGACTGACCATCGAGTTCAGTCTTTATCTTCGTTTTGCTGTACTAGAATTGTTCCATTTTGCTGATAATTGCGAGTAGATGATAGAACATGATCTTCTGGATGTACTGTCTGTTTTAATATCAATATAGAGTTTATTTCCTTTTCTTTTTTGTGCTTATTGATTGTTTGAACTGGTATTGGATAGAGTTGTTTGTGTTATCTTGGCGGTTTAACAGGTCAGTGTTCTATCATTTTCCTTAACTCCTGCCGTATTCAAGATTCAGTCCATAGATCTTGCCCGAATGGTTGTGAGTCTGCTGTTTTCATCACTGTGAGGCACATAGAGTGCATCACTCCTTTACCTACTACACTTGATTTTTAAAAGGCATTACTTTAGCTTGACTGATTAACTGATAGATCAATATAATAAGTTAAAAGTATTTACTTAACACCTACAAAACTAACAGTAACTTAAAATAACGATCAGACATTCTCAAACTTCTAAATATCGAAAATTTGATATGGACAAAAAAAATCAATTGCAATTATGGGAATAAAAGCGCACAATTTAATAACAGAATATATGAACCAAAGAATCCTCGAAAACGCGAGCCTTTTGAAGCCTCATATTATCAATGGCAGCGCGATGTAAAAGCGCGGTGCAAACCTGTCCTTTTTGCAGTACCGATAGAGATTCATCATCTCCCCCGTGTGTCCGCCTTCACAAATTCAATTGACAATAGAATCTGATGATTATAATAATAAAAGAACAGCAATTTGATGGATTTTAATAATATCAAATAGACTCACTTGAACCTAAACAACGACGTCGAGAGTGGCTGTAAGGATTACGGCGGCTAGGTTTTCCCGTTAAATAAGAATGTAAAGAAGACGAATTATGAAAATTGTAACGCTAATGCCAACGAATGCCATTATGGACCAGCAACAGTCGTTCAGTTTCTCCATCGCCGGAATTTAATTTAAGTTGACCCGAGTTTAAGTCTTTGAGGCTTGAAACTGTCACCTTCTTCAATTGTTATTTTAATTGCAAATTTAATAACTCTTCCTTCCAAGCAAACCGCTAACTCTTGTCATACCAGTTGAATTCCATAAGATTTCGCAAACAATCAAACAAAATTTAGATACAAATGAATATGAAAAACCAGTATGTGGCAATTTAGTATAGTTTCTCTCCACACAAGGAGAAAAGCATAACCAAAATGAAATTGTCACAGAGCCTTTTCGTGGTTTTAGGTTATATACTAAAGCAGAAACATGTATATACATATACATTACATGAAAGTTTCACATTAATTAATAATTATACAATAAGCATCAATTAACAGTTGATACCTTCACGGCATTCCTGCAATACAGTAGCTCTTCATACCTGCAACAAAACAAATATAATCTATGTTTATGGGGACAAAATTAAGCAATTGAAGAAATTGAAAAGGGACACATTTAGTGTAACTTCATACCGCCCAACTTGATGCAACTAGTAATTATTCAGTGTAACTTCACATAATGTTCGCAACATGTGCTATCTTGTACCAATCTTCTCCTGTTTCCTTCTCACATCGCTTCACCAGTTCAGGGCATTTGGATATG